GATTTCTATGAAATACAGAATTTAAAGTTAGTACTAGTCAGTGCTAAAGTATTGCATTAAGATATATGTACATCCTCAACAAAGGTTTTTTTTCACATCTTGAAAACAAGATTTTTTTTTTTTAAGCCACTTTCTGGTTCCTTGTGTGTTGTCGTTTCATTCATATTCTGCAAAACCCTTTTCTGCACGTAAAGGATCTCAAGTGAGCTTGTAGTGCTTTTTTTCCCAGTGCTGAACCTTTTCTGAGCAGAAGTTATCTTCGGTGTTGAATTTTGCAGTGGTTTTTCACAGCATAAAAAAACCCCTGCTGGAATGTAGGTTGTAATCTCAAGCTCCCAGGAGTTAGGTAGGTCTACATCTATTCTGTTTTGGCACTCTGACAGTGAATTTCCTCATAAACATATTGCCTGTCAACAGAATTTTGTAGGTGAAGCAAAATTGTCTTTAAAATGAACCTGCCTATGTACAAATCTGTCTCTGTCCTTTACTGGAATTATGGTATTCAAAATTAATGACATTTATTGCTCATCCTATGGCAATTACTTGTCATAAGGAGTGGAGTTGTGTATGGCTTGGATATAGCATCTGAATGCTACCTTTTGATATTAGACAGCAGCATTATTTTTGTGATAGATAAGGCTACTTTACATTATCAGTTATTTATTCTGTAGTGTGTTCCTGTTCTTTAATTTGACAAGAAATATCTGTTACCCTTGCGTGACTCTTAACATATGGGCCTGAGGAAACGGAGAGGGGAGATCTCTGAATCAAATCCCCTGCTACTGCAAGCGATCTCAGCCTATCGTTTCACATTTCAGCTTGTGAAATGTTTGGGGCTATCATTTTAAAACCAAAGTTTTATTTTGGTTTTGTCATTCCTTTGTTCTTCTGCATTGTTCAGAAATGGCAAAAGCTGAGTGTGATCTTGACTGAAGCCTGAACATAATGGTTTGTGTTTCCATGAATGGTAAACTGCTCCCAGTCAAACTCTTTCAGTCTGCTGGGGTTAAACACCCCTTTTCAAGATAATTTGGCCGAGTATCGTATCACTGTGTTGTTGTTCTGTATTGTAGGATGTGATCGTTATCTGCCTTTGGGTGAAAGAGGAGTCCTCCACCTTCTCGTCTCCCAGCTTGCTTTCCCTCATTTCTCTTTGTAAAAGCATAATTAAAATGTTCCCTCCATTCAGAAGTAATCTTAATTTTAAAATAATCTAATTATGTGCTTTGTTCAGAGAAAAAGCTCCAAGAAGATGAAGTAGTATTGCATAGGTAATGGATCGTGGCATCAGGCTGCAAAGTGGTGTCACACACAATGCTGTTGCCCTACTTACTTGTTTCATTGGCTGAAAGTTTTAATTATAGGGTTTTTTCTGACTAGTGTCGAGTTGAGTGCTCAAAGTATCAGGTCAAAGGTTGGGGGCTAATGATTTAACTAAAAATAACTGCAAAGGTGTTATTTATACCTGAGAAAGAACTCAGGGTATTGCTACTTGTATTTACTGAGGATTTTTTCCTTTGTTTTGTTTTGGTTTTTGGTTATTTTGTTTTGTTTTTAATGCAGCCTGATTATGAAAATTTCATCGGGCATAAGTGGAACTTACATTTTAGACAGGCTTATACCAGACCATTCAAAATATTTCTCATCACATTTCGTGCACTATCTGAGGTATTTTTATTCTATTTTACTTGTTTTATTTTCAGTGAGTCATTTTGTTTCTTTAATGAGATAAAAGAGCCCTCTGCTGAGCTGACACAGCTGCCTGCAGGACTACCTCACCCTCCTTCTTGAAAGACCAAGTGCCTTGCTGCCTGTGGTAGGATGTCAAGTCTTTCCAAGTCTTCCCCGGGGTTGTGGCAGTAAGGGCTCATCCCCCGCCGCTGTTGTGTTTAGGGTGTTGTGTTACACTGTCCTTTCTCCTTTTTCAAATGTTGAGTGTGATCTTGGGTGTTTTGTTGTGTTTTCCTTTCTCTGTGCCAAAAAGCAGAAAGAATGATGTGCTAGAGGATGGTGACTCCACTGTGTTAAAGCGAAACAATGGACTAATGTACTTGTGGAGACAAGAGGGCTCTGAGCGGGGCTGGGGCCCGGCAGGGCGATGCGAGGGGACTCTGCTGTGGACGATGAGTGAGCCCTTTGTTTCTGATGATTGCTGTAGCTGCTGCAAACGCAAATATTCAGTGCAGAAGTGATGCCAGCGACGTTTACAGCTTGCAGAGAGACAGCCATATCTTCTCTAGGCGAATTTGTGAAGAGCGTATGTGTATATGTACTTACACAGTAGTAGAATAATGGATCCTGTATTCCTGAGCACATGAATGGGTGCTATGGAGAAGAGCATGTCTTTGTATCTTATGACGTGGGGGAAGGAAACTCTAGGCTAATTAGCAACAGTATTCTTAAGGAGATATTATTTCAATGTCATTGTTCCATTACTGTCTTTGAAAACACAGAGCTCCCTCCCCTGCAGCGCTCTGAAGAGCCCCGTGTTTCTTACCACTCCTGAGCTCCAGAGGGGGACTGGGGGCTGTCCATGCCCTCACACGTGTCCTTCAGGGCTGTGACAGTTAGAATGAGACACCTTTATTTTGATGTTCCTCTCTTGGCAAGAGAGATGGTTTTTTGTTGACGGTTTTGTCAGCACTACAGTGCTGAGGTTGCATTACTTTGTTTTCTGAAAGCCTTCTGTACCTTGGGAACTAAGCTAAAAATAAGCTTCACCATCAGAGGATACATTTCCTAGGACTTGAGCGTCCCAAGTCTTCATATATTTAATGATATTTAATACATGAAACAGAGCTGGTGATCTACAAATGAAAAGCTTGTTATGTTGTTGCACATCTCCTGTGTTAGGCAGCTCCTGAAATCACACCAGAAGTTTCATATTTTGGAATGGTGTGGGATTTTTTTTTTCCTGTTTGGAAGAATAAAAGAGAGGGCAATGGCAGTCCTATGAGGAAATTGTTCTCTGTTTTTGTCTCAGTGCAGGAACTGTCTGCGTGAGAGGAAAATTGTTTGTTATCAGTTGTCCCATTTAAGCCTAGATGCTGCATGTTTGGTTGGACTTCTCCCACATCCTTCTGCTGCTCTTTTTGACCATGAGCATCCGTACAACTCACGCCCCCTCTGACGTGCAGAGCTACAGGCTGTCCCTCGTGTGTGTCTGTCTGCCGCCAGTGGAGTCTGGGAGGGGGAATGGAGAAGAAGCAAGAGTGTTTCTTCTTCCTTCCCCAGCTGGAAATCTTCATGGCTGCTGCCAGCCATCCCAGCACCACAGACCTCCCTCAGGAGCATGCGCTGCGGGCTGGATGGCTGCTGTAGTGAGAGGGCTCATTGGCGGGTGTTTTCATTTTCCTGTGGCCGAGGCTGGCATCTCGGGCAGTCCAGTCTTCGTAACCTGGACTACAGACAGCCGGTATCAGACAGGATAGTTATGCTTTCCCACAACTTTCCCACTGAGACTGCCAGCCTGGTGTGTGTGAAGGTGTGAACTGTGCTGTAGTCATTCGCACCTATCGCATGTGTTAAATGGAAGTCAAGAACATAAAATTAGGTTGCTTTGATCTTCTTAACACTTTCCTATTAAATTTAAATCAGCACTCAGCCATTTCAAGTAATTTCCTTTTACCAAACTGTGGAAAATCTGCTTCAACCGGTGCCTTCGTTTAGTTAAATGCATCCCACTTTGGCTCTGCTGGAGATGGGTGATGTGACCAGAGGCTCCTCTAGCCTACGTCTGCACAACACGAAGGTGCTGGAGTTGTGCTCTTATCTGGGGGCTTGGCGATGTTTTGGAAGATAGGTAGCAGCTTGAGAGAAACAACGTGATCTGTAATTTAACTTGGTAATTTCATCAGCAGCTTTTTTTTGGCCATGTCAGAAATAGAAGCCCAGATCTTCCAGAGGACCTTTAGGCTACAGAAACCACAAGTATTTTTTCCATGCATATTTCTTCGCTTTCACTGCATAGCATTTGCGGATGGCCTCAGCAGGCGTTTGCAGGCTGTGCAGACTGTGTATGTGCTGCCTGAACGTGTGTGTGGCTAAAATTTCATTCACAGTTACTGTGCTGTAAGTGCAGCCTGGTCTGGGGCTTGGCTGCACTTTCTGTGTTCCAGCCCCAGCTCTGTAAAGCTTTGGGGTAAAATTTTATTCCTTCTTTCTCCACTTTCCAGTGTGTAAGATAGAGTTAAACTCACCCAGCTCATAGGAGTGTTTTGAAATATCATTTATTTTAACTTCTTTTACTTTGGAAATATAAAATACTGCATAAAGCATGTCTGTTCTTTATTTTAAAAGATTCAAGCTATATAAATGCTAATTTATATCCTTATAACTTTGTCATGTGTTTGTTAGTCATACAGTTGGGGTTTATGGGTGGATCACTTCTTGAGATGAGAGCAAATTGTTTTAGTAGCAAATGGAGATTATTTTTTTTTAAATTAGAAGAAATTACTTCACAACAAAGGGATTGTCTTTGCTCCAGAGCTGCTATTTGTGTCCTCAACAGCTCTGCTTGAATTTTTCAGATTCAGAACAAATCTGGGAAAAGCTGGTGATTAGATCAGAAGGATGAAAGGTTTCTGTTGCCGCCTCTGCTGTTGATTTCTCTATCTGTAAGATGGCATTAATGATCTGTACTAATGAGCACGGATAATTTAGTGGAGTGCTGTACTACAGGCTCTGGGTAGATGTAGCTGCAGAAGCACGTAGTGGATAGCAGTAACAGGTACTTTACAGTAGCCGGGTTCGCTAGAGCAGCTCTGCTGGCTGGCTGGACTGCCGCGGCAGCATCAGTCCTGACCGAGCACCCTGACCGCAGGCAATCTGGTCAGCCAGTCTGGCAGCTTGGTCACTAACAGCCTTGTTACTGCCACGCGCGTTCACATTATTGCGGTATTGCTAACGTTTCTGGTGGAAGGGTTGTTGCCAAGTTGGGGACACAAAAAAAAGGTGTCCTTGAGAGAACAGCTGATAATTAACATGTCTTTGTGTTTTAGAGATGAGCGAAATCAGTCGATCATTGTCAGTGGGGAATCTGGAGCCGGAAAGACTGTCTCTGCTAAGTATGCCATGAGGTACTTTGCCACGGTCAGTGGGTCTGCCAGTGAAGCCAACGTTGAGGAGAAAGTCTTGGCCTCCAACCCCATCATGGAGGTAAGAGAGCTACTACACTAACCCCCACCCTCTATCTGCAGTTATTTTTCTGGGGCTAACATAAGCATTCAGTAGAGAGAGCATTCCATACTTTTCTTTTAAGCATCAAAGAACCTAGAAAATAAATAAAATTTTGTTTTGAATCCATTTACCAAGAGATGCTTTAGGCATCATTTTGTGTAGTATTTATGAAAGACTGAGAGAAGACGTGTGGTAATGTTTCAGTATTGTTCATGTATTTCACATAACAAAATAATTTTTCTATGAATACTGCTTTAAATGTGTTCAGCTTTGTAACACTGGTAGTTCCCAGACTGCTGGCCAAATGCAAGTACAGAAGACTGATTTTGTGTGTAAAATTCCAAAGAAGATTAAAACTTCTGGTCTGACTCACCAAACATGTATATCACATGGTAGGGGCAGGTAGATTATCCTTCAAAGTGAAGAGAGTTGTTGAGTAAAACAATGTTCAATTTTAGGAAATGTTATTAGAGAAGTAGACTGAGAAAGCAAAGTTACATGAGACGCACACGGTTTCTTTCAGAGGGGAAAAACACAACAGAAGATGTAATTCTGCTATAATAAGCTCAGACTAATGTTTCAGTTCTGGAAATTTGTGTAACTAACTGTAGTCAAGTCCCAAAGCCATTGGTTTGGGAGTGTAGGTGCTGGCAATAGACTGAGATAACATAGAATCATAGACTCTTAGATGTACAGTTCCCTCCTGCTTCGGGATCTCTGTTCTCTGGGAAGCTCAGGAGACACTGTAATTCTGATGTTGTGGCCAAGCAGAAAACATTTTGTAGGCTCATCTGAATTGTTTTTTTTCTTTTTCTACGTGTGTAGATTCAAGTTGTAGCTGAAGTTAAGGAACTACATTAAGAAATGATTCATCAGAGAGAAACAGCCTTGGGGGAATTCCTTGAGAGAAGTAGCACTGTCCATGGGCACGCACATGTGCGTGTCTAGGGACAACCTAAGAAAATGCTTAGGGAAGCTGATGCCATGGTAGATGTTTAGCATCTCAGTGCAATAGTGTGAAGTATCAGTGGATAGACATGAGTAAATGAAGTGTGCACAGTGAAATGTGAAATGCAAAATGCTGCCATTGTTTTCTTTCTCAGGTATTTTAAAAAATGAACTATGTTTTATTCCTTCTTTCCTCCTGGCATGAGGAGCTCATGATACTCAAACTATAGCTGCCCCATCACAGTTGTGTGTGTTCTGTCACAAGGTAATTGTGCCTGGTTTGTGGTGCTGTGTGGTGTTTTGGAACTGTTTGTGGGATAAAAGAAGCTGTGCTGTGATGGGCAGTGGGTTCTGCTCTTGAGGAATCAAAATGTCCAGCCATGGGAGGAAGCCAGGGGAGCTGCACTTTGCCTCGAGCTGCACCTGCCCTGGGGGGAGCAGCCTTGCAGGTGGGAGCTGATCCCATAATACTCCTTTTGTTGCCCCAGTGTTTGCAAAGTGTCCTGCCATCCTTGGCCACGCAGAGATTTGGTGCGTGGGTAACAGGACCAGGGGTGTCAAACACCCCTTCTGCCTCCCCCTGCACACCGTGGAGGTGGTACCTGGGGCCAGGTGGGTGGGTGCATCCTCACCGCCTGTCTGCTAAGTGACAGCTATGGTAAGAGACTGCACAAGGGGTCTGCAGTTTGCTATTTGTTTGCTGGGTGAAACGCAAACTGTCTACAGGCTTCCCTGCGCCACTTTGGTTTGGTCTCAGAGCCTAAACCAAGTGTCCTTCTGTCTCGCTCCTTGCACCCCAACTTCCAATCAGTGGCCATCAGCTCACTACTAATTGTGTCTGATTTAGTTTCCAAAACAAAGAGATTTAGATAGAGGACTAGAAATGGCTCTAGTTTGGTATGGACTTCCCATCCATACCTTTTTTTTTATCCACTAAAAAACAATGCTCGTGCTTTATTTTCTAGGGATAACAACAATTTCGTGAACCTGGGAATATCTAAGATTTCAATTACTTTAAACATTGTTATAAGTGGATGAAAGGTATCCTTTTAACTTCAAACATTTGAACTTTAAATAAGCTTTAGAGTGTTGTGAAATCTGTTGTAGAGACAGACTCTAGGATAGCAAGATTAATGTTTCAAACTCTTAAATTGATAAATCAGCAGAAACACAAATTAACTCATGTAGATTAGGAAGAAAATGAGTAATTCATTTTAGAAACAGGAAACTCCTCATTTGCTAAGTTGATTGTAAAATCTTAGGAGCAGAAGGTAATTTTATTTTTTTATTTGTATTTGGACATCCTAAACATCAGCATGTTATGAGCTGCCGTCATTAGCGTCAGAATTTCAGGTCATCTTTGCCTACTAAATATGCTTTAATATCAAGTGGCCACTATACATTTCTAGCATCTGTTTGAATAATTAGTTTTGTAGTCAATAACTACAGTTTTTGTATTGCAAATGCGGAAATTGTCAAGTCTCAAACCATATCTTTTTATGTAATGTCCTGCCTCTTGTTCTTTGTTACCCTGTATAGCTGTGTGAATTGTGCAGCTTAGTATGTACTCTGGTAAGCAATCTTATAATACCAAATACTTTCTTAACTCTTTTTGTAAGAAATATCTTTTAAAGTAATAATTGGTTTCTGAAAATACTGTAATATTATATTGCTACCACCACCACCAAAATATATCTCAGTAGCGACAATTTTAAACCACAAGAAATTCAGTTTTTCTTAGAACTACAGAGATGCAGTTTTTTCTTACATCCGTTACAGCAACCGTTCGTCTGATAGCCACTTTGGCATGTGCTCGGTCACGCGTGCGTGCTGCTACTATGGGTTTTCTGAAAGTCTAGTCCCCACTTCTCGTGCTGCACCCGGCCAGCCCTTACCGATTCACTGGCCTTTTGTGTACAGATTTGGAATGCCAATACTCAGCATTGCTATTCGCTCTCATCTGTTTTTCCCAAGTTTTATTTCAGTACAGAGTGCCTGTGGATGGCTATGCACACTAGGAAACTAGGACACAGGTACTACTCTGTGTTCTTTAGTTACGGTGCCCTTCAGAGTTCGGTACTTGGGAACATAGACTCAGTGGCGTATGATAAAAGGCAGTGTGCTCTATCTGAATTACTCCAAATATCGTTCCTTTTGATACAGAGATGTCTTTAGGATTTTTTTTTTGGAAGGTGAATTGCTATATGATGTCTAAGACATGATCTAATTGAGAAGAGAAAGTGCTTTTCTTTGAAGTTCAGCATGTTGTGATTTGCATGCCTTGAATTCTGATCTGTCCAGCTGGTACCTGTTGCGGGGAGAGTCCCAGCGCCGATGAGGTGAGGCAGGGGTGCACCAAGATCACTCAGGAACCAGGGTTGTCATTTGCCCTGGGCATCCCAAGGCCACGTATTATAGAGGAAGTATATTAAATAGTGTTTATTGCGTATGAAGCTGTATTGAATTAATCTAAGAAGGTTAGGTACGTAGGGCAGCGTTGAAGACAGTCTCCTGAGTCAGTAACCAAATGCTGTGGAAGGGGTTCAGTTTCAGGCAAATGACATGGGTCTATACTTGTTTATTTTTAAATTGTATTTAGGCACACGGTAAGTATTTTATAATTATGTGTTTGCAGAAGTAGTTTGTAAATGTGATTGATTATAGAGTAATACTAATGATAAGCTGTTAGACAGAACATAGAGACTGTTTGCTGACTATGGGCTTATGGTAGGTAGACTTACAGAGGTACTGTACATATATCTGTACATATACATATATGAAAATATACAGTATGAAATAACTGTTATTGAACCATAGAATCATAGAATAGTTTTATTAAGTTCTTAGAAGAAATCTGTGAGTATGTGAGCATTCTGTTTGTCTCCTTAATTGCTTTTAAAAGACTTTGGAGAGCAATAAAATGCAAAAGTGAAATAATTGCTTGGAAGATCGGCTCCCTATCTTGTGTTAATGAACTAACTGTATTTTGATGTAACTTGCTGACCAGGCAGACATCTTTCTTTATTAAATTCTTGACTATTTTGAAACCAGGACAAAATTAATGTTGTTAATTGTTTATGAGCCATGTAGATGATTAAGTAGATTTGATAATTTCTAAAAGCTGTATAACTTTTACAGTATTCCCTTTTTTCAGTCTATTGGAAATGCCAAAACTACAAGGAATGACAACAGCAGTCGCTTTGGGAAATACATTGAAATTGGTTTTGATAAGAGGTATCGAATCATTGGTGCTAACATGAGAACTTACCTCTTGGAAAAATCAAGAGTGGTGTTTCAGGTAATACTGGTGCAATCTTATTGTATACATGTCTGACTATGCAAAAAAAAAAAAAAAAAAAAAAAAAAAAGCTATTGCCTGCTGATACTAGTTATCTTTCCAAAGAGATGGCTGTAATACTGTATTTGTAATGTAGCACGTTTGGGGAGCGGGGAGAAAAGGCAAACCAAGTCAACCCTTCATTATAGGAATTATTCATAGTTGTAAAATGTGTATTTAAAAAGGTTGTGTATTTAAACATGAAATACCTCCAGTGCACTACTACATATGCATTTATGCTTACCATAGCGTTATAGAATAGGGCGTCAAAACCTGGCAGAAACCACTCCTGCTCAAGAAGAGCTCTGTTGTGGTTTGTCAAGCTGCCATCTCGCCTCACTTTCAGTCTCTTTTTAAAACCCGCCGCTATCACAATAATTACGAATGAGTCTTAATTGCCATTATTTAGGCAAATGAGAGTACGTCATTTAATCTTTCTTGAACTCTTCATTTTGGTGTTTCATACTTGAACCAATCCACAACCTTTTTGTCTCCCACACTTCCTCTCCATCTTTTCCTATCTTAGAGTTTAGAGCTCAGTAAAAATGGACTTATCCTTGACTGGCTGCCCAAAGGTACCCAACAAGTAATTAGAGTTTGCATTATGTAGGGGTACTGCTGTGTATTTTAAACATAAGAGAGACTTCTTGCACATGGTTTATCTGGAAGAGAGTTTTTTTTTTTTTTTTCTTTTTTTGTTATGAAATTTAGAGGGCTTAAGTTCAGAATTATGGTGTTGGTCATGAGTCATAACCTTCTTAGCTGTGTTTGTCCTTCATTTTAAAATTCCAGCTTTGCCTTGGCAAGAAAGATACTCCCTTCACCAGCTTACTATAAATGCTGAGGCGAATGGTGTTAGTTATTTTTGGAAAATGAAAAGCTTTTAAGTACGATCATTTCACCCACCTATAGAACGCTGATCTATATTTAATAGTAATCCACAGTTCTGAAAAGTGAAATCATACATTTTTTTGGAAATGAAAATGTCTGCATGCTTCTTGCTGTTGAAAATGGATTAAATTAATCAAGAAGGAAATGATAGATGCTGATTTATCTTTCCTTTTTCCATGTGGTTTCTATGCTCATAATGTAATGCTAGAGAAAGCATTAAACATAATAATTATTTTCTACTCATGGATGTTTCTGGCACTTGTTGTGAAAAATAATCAATTCCTTTCTTTTTAAAGGCAGAAGAGGAGAGAAATTACCACATCTTTTACCAACTTTGTGCCTCTGCAGCATTACCTGAGTTTAAAACTCTGCGTTTAGGTATGAAATTCACATTCGTTGTGTTGTGCAATTGTAGGTACAAAGCAGCATCTCTGGGCTTTTTGAGCCCTAGAACCAAAAGAGAAATTGCTGGCTTTTAAATTCTAAACTTTGAAACTTTCAAATACTAAAATATATTGAAAATAACTAAAATGGCAGACCTCAGACTTTGTGGTTTTTAGATAAAACTAAAGTAACGGATTTGTTTATTCAGCATGCTCTTATACACTGCAGTTGTAATCACTAGGACTTACTATGTCCTGGATTCCAGAGTAGCTTTCCAGTCGTGAGGGTGAAATTCTCTTCTCTTGATCCTTTAAAACCCTTTTTTCCATGGCTCCAGCTACTAGAGAATTTTACCATATCTGGTATAAGCACCTGAAAAGCTTATTTTGCATCTTCATACTTTCACTTGGGCTGTTACCAACAATTACTTTACCTTCTCTGCTAACCTGGTGATCACAAAACTAATAAGTGGATTTTTTCATTTTTCAAATTAAAATGTTGATAAAGGGAAGGTTTCTCATTTCACAGGAACTGGTACTTGGTAAAAGAAGGGGATGATGATGACCTTGGGACAGGCAATCGCCTCATTATTTTTAAAATTCCATATACATTTCAGTGCTTCTTGTATATTTTTAAAAGTTAGCTTCATAGTGGGAAAATTGCACAGCCTGTCAGTGCTGATTTCTGAAATATTGTTCTGGTTTAAAGTGTTTCTCTGCTCTTCTGCACTATCCTGTCACATTTAGGATTCACATCTGCTGATACAGGAAAGAAAGGAACTGATGTAATTATAACTAAAGAAGCCATTTAGCAGACACCTCTTTCAGCGTTCTTGAAACCTTATCAGATCAGAAGAAAAGGAGCCTGTTATTGCAGCTGGAAGCATGGCTGCTGAAACTGTAGGAATTTACACAGTACCCAGGAGAGCTACTGCTACATACACAGCTACTGCTCTCCCACTGAAGCCAAGTGCTGTCCTCAGAGTGGTAGGAAGCTATCAGTTCTCCAGACTGGCTTCTGAGGCTGAACGGAGCACAGATACTCATAAGACTAAACCAGACCATAAATTAGAAACAAGAAGAAAATGGGCAAAATAGAATTTTTAAAATATCTTGATGCAATAATAGCATAATAATATCTGCCACATAATTCCAAAGTGCTGCTGCTATCAACTCTGCATCTACCACTTGGATGGTAGGCTCAGATGTGGAGAATAATTCCTTCCAAAGTTACTGTTCCACAGGTGTGGAAGTCTGAGCCAAGGTTATGTAGAGAATATGCTTGAGGGCCTATTGCAGGAACCAGGTAGCTTAAGAATACTTGTTTGCACTGTTAAATCTTGAAAAAATTCTTCTCCCGAATAGGTGGGCCCTACGAGCCAGAAGGCAAAAATATACTGACATATTTCAAATCATGGATTCTGCCAAGAGCAATTTAATAATTACACAGCTTTGCAGATGTGCTGTGAACTTCTGCATCAGTGTGTGTATAACACTTGTTTTTCCTCTTACAGGAAATGCGAATTACTTTCACTATACAAAGCAAGGTGGAAGCCCTGTGATTGATGGTGTTGATGATGCTAAAGAAATGGTAAACACTAGGCAAGCCTGCACTTTGCTAGGTAATTTGTGAAACACAGTCATATCCCAAATTTGATACACTAGCAAGTTTTTTCTACGTTGTTTGCATGTATTTTCTTCATACTCTGTTGTGTTTACAAACTGGAGAGTTTGATAGACTTTGGGACTGAGATATTGTTATTACATTAAGAAGGTATTTAAATTGCAGTGGAATCACATGTCTAGTGTAGAAGGGGCACACATTATGTGAACATAAATGGTGGATTCCCTTGGTGTAGCATATACAGTGTTGGAGGTCACTGACAAAGCACTTTGAAACAGCAAATTAAGTAGTTCATTTTAATGGATTTTTTTTGCATCTGATTGTAGAATGTTTTTAATGGAAGTGGAGCCAAACAGTACTGTCAAATGTCAAAAAAACCACACGGCGGTCAACTTTTTTCTTTTAATAAAATTTTTCATCAACTGCAGCTCATAGTTCTGTATTTCTCTCTCCATTCAAAACGTTTTATTCATCATTTTTCAGGGATTAGTGATTCCTACCAGATGGGAATTTTTCGAATCCTTGCTGGCATCCTTCACTTGGGCAATGTGGAGTTTGCATCTCGGGATTCCGACAGTTGCACTATTCCTGTGAGTAGTAGATAAGCTGAAGGGAGTGGTTTCTACTCTGACAGTTCTGCCTTCTGCTTGTTTGCAGGGACCTCTTCTGAAAAAGAGTAACAATATAAAAATGCAAGCAATGTGTTTATTTCTAATTTGTTAACATTTCACAGTTCTTTTTGCAGATGGATTCAACTCAGTTTAGAGGCTTTAGACAGTGCTCTCTATTATAACTGTGGCTGCCTTAGTTTTGTTTCAAAACTGTAATTGATCTGTCCTAGAAAAGTCTACCAGACAGGCTAGCTTTGAAGTCCTGGGCGGGTGTCTAGATCTTTATATTTCTACATTAATACATGCCTTGCCCACAGTAAATGTTTTGCAAGATTCTTTTTTTATGTTAAATGCCAAAATGGCCTAAATAATTGCAAAGCAAATGCTTCGCAAAGTCCTCTGGGGTGTCTAGACATGAGCATAGGATATACAGATATGATTCGTGTGACTCAGATCTAAGTGTCATAGTTTTATAATTTTTTTTTACTTTTGTGGAAGTCAGCAATGAGGACTGCATAGTCTGATCTGAAAATAACTCCTCATTGGGTGAAGCCAAGACTTCTTACTGAAGTCCATATTCTGGAGATGAGGAACAAAAAGTATCTGGCTTGTCATTCTCTTCCCTTCCTTGGATTCCCAAGTGACCAGTTTCTCCTTTTGCCTTTCCTTGAATGTTTACTGCTAGACTGCTCAGCCTTCATCTTTCTCTCTCTTCAAATAGTAGCAACTATATACAAATAGTAGCAGAATTTTTTTCCCATTTTACTATCAGTCACTTCCTCAAGAATCTGCAGTCGCAGTTTCTGGAGCTGAGACAGCAGATCCTTCATTGGGTCCCAGATGATCAGTGTGCCTGGTCTGTCCGTGAGGTCTCATGGATAGCTGCTGTGAAACCACAGCAATAGTCTGGCTCTTTGGTGTGTCTTAAAAAAGGTTTTCACTACAAAGAAAGCGTCATTTAATGATCACAGGTAGAAAGCTGATGAGCCCTAGGACATGATGAGCTAGCCTGTGCGTAATGGGTATCTCCAGTGCAGGAATCCCCCTGAATGAGCTAGTACCACGCTGCAATCCTATCCTGACATGGTAAACATCTAGCAGGCGGAGGCGAATGTCTGCTCAATGGCATTTGTTACCTGAGCCGTGCTGTTCTCTGACAACAGCCATGTCACTGCAGAGTTCTGTTGCTCCGCAGACTGGTCTGCCTGAGAAGCACTGGCATGGTGATCCTGTGGTGCTGCTTCTGGGAGCTCAGCAAAGGGCTCTGCATGGTGCTGTGTGAATGAATCAGTTTGTTTAATGTCAGCTTGAGTAACCCTAATGTGACATTCCTTTGTGCAGTGTTCATTATTAGTATTATTATTTTATTGTTGTCTTCTGAGCCAGTTAAAGTGGTATGGCTAAACTGAAAGGAGACAGGCTCAGATAACTGGAATTTGAAGGTGTAACAGGACTGCCATGGGACCAGCTGTGAGGGCTGGAAGAAGCCCCAGAGAAGTCAGAAGGGTGTGGAAATAGGAAAATAAAGCTGATGTACCTGAAGCTACTCGGCATGTAGTAACAGTTCCCTGCAATCTGTCCTTGTCAAGACGCTGTTTGTCAGCATGGTGTGAGCCACCACGTGCAAAGTGAACGTGATGAGGAAGTAGTGTTAGGGGAGTTCCTTAGGAAGAAAGACCTGTCTGTCCTCCTTGATTTCTAGCTATCGGTTTGCTCGTTAGTCACAAAGTGTAGTATCTGAACTCTGCACGGATTTTTAGGCAGAACTCTTATATACCCATCTCAGTGTGCAAGCCTTGCTCGTTGATTTTACCCAGTTAAACAAAGGTCAATCTTTTCAACTTGTACAGTCCAATTTGAGAGTTGGAAAATATAATTTGTGTGCTCCAATCTCTTAATGTTTGTCTCCAGAATTCACTGAGAAAATATGGTGTTAAATACTGAGACCAGAGCACTAAAGGCCTTCCACACTTCTTCCTCTTCATTCGTGGCTTGGGCTGCGATGCCCTATTGCCCGTCTCTCCCTGCCGTGGATGTATATGAGCAGATGAGAGTGCCACTCAGGAGCTGTAGTCCATTCTGTCCCAACACACAGCTGATGTCCTGTCCTCTGCGCTTCTCTAGCTTCTTCACTCAAAACTGAGACAGTTATGAGAATTAAAACTACCAAGTCCATCCCTGTGAAGCCAGGTGGTTCATTTTTGCGAAGGTTGCAGGTTCCCTTTGTGGGGCTTTTTGATGAACACAAGAATAGTAAAATGCCTTTGGGGTAAACTGTGATTCACTAATTTATGTGAATGTGATAAGTGGGTAGGGAACTTGTTATGTTTTGAAGGAGGAAGAGCTGAGGAAGCTGCTGTTGCAGCTTATTGTTGGATCACTGCAGACAGGCAGGCAGTTCTTCTGATTGCATGATTGAATATGTGCTATTGGTAATACTGTTTCAAGACTAATGAGATTGTTTTTGTTAGCCCAAGCATGAACCCCTCACCATCTTCTGTGACCTCATGGGCGTGGAGTATGAAGAGATGGCCCACTGGCTTTGCCATAGGAAGCTTGCGACTGCCACTGAAACCTACATCAAGCCAATTTCTAAACTTCATGCCATCAATGCCAGAGATGCACTTGCCAAACATATCTATGCTAATCTCTTTAACTGGATTGTAGATCATGTGAACAAAGCGCTTCACACAACTGTAAAACAGCATTCTTTCATTGGAGTGTTGGACATCTATGGGTGAGTCTTTTTTGTCAGAGATATGACACCTCTTATGTAATTATCTTACTGCAAAGCGCCTTTGTCTTTATCACACAGCACTGTGTGGATTACACAAAAAACTCCAAACCTTTAGCAACTGCTTCTTCCAGCTGAAGAAAGTAGGTGTTTAGTTTTGACATGCTATCCAAGAGCCTTGTCTTGACTTTCAGGTTTGACATTTATAGTGGGATTTCAGATTTTTGCTGTTGGTAGTTCCTTTATGTATTGCACTGGGGAAAGTTACAAGGGAGTTGTCATCTCATGGTTCTTCCAGGGTGGCACTTCCAGAGAGGACAAAGATAACTAACATGTTCTCCAGGAACATCAATCCCTTCCCTGTGTTCCTAATCCCTGCCTAAAGAGGGAGCATCACTGAATTGCCCATGTACTGCAATTTGCCATTCCGCTGTGTGTTTTGCTGCTTGATTTGCAGTTGTTTGTCCCTGGAATAATGCAGTGAATTTGACTGGAGGGAGGGAATTTAAAATTATGGGGTCATGTAATCTGTTTTCCTCACTGCACTAGTAATTTTGAGTATCTGCATATTTTAGGTTTGAAACGTTTGAAATCAACAGCTTTGAACAGTTCTGTATCAACTACGCCAATGAAAAACTGCAGCAGCAGTTCAATATGGTAAGTAGGAAATGACTGGCATTTCCTCTTCCCTTTCGCCTCGCCCAAGTCCGTTCTGCTAATTGGGTCCCCAGTGGTTACAATGAATTCCTTCAGTCTATTAACCAGCTGTCCTGGCTGTGGGCTTTGGGGGATGGCAAAAGATCGACTATCTCCTGGAAATAGATTTTATGACTAACTGCTGCTCTGGGACTATTTGAAATTCCGATCACAGTAACAATTATAAGACAGAAGCGGTGCTTGGCAATTAAGACCCCGAGATTGCCTGTCAGCGAGAGCACTGTGTGGATGAAGTTGGAGTTAGCGGTGTCTCTGTAACCTCCAGCAAGAGCCTGTGCATGGGCAGCAGAGAGCAGGGCTTTGCTGCTGGAAATCTGCCACCCGCGCTTCCTCTCCCGGCGTTATTTTTTGAGGGTTTTCAGCTGCATCCTGAAGTTGATGACTGACGTGTGGCAAGAGACGCCTCTTCCCCCTCCTCCAGAGGGATCACGATTCTTTCTCTCTCCTCAGCCTTAGTGACGTTTGCAGTTATATATCTTACCTGCATAATGATGAGGCAAGTAATTTATGCCAGGTCTGTTGCTAGGCTGTGCTGCAGTACGGGAATAGCTCTGAACTCTCTTTACGAGCGTACCTCCATGTCAGCGTGTGCTTGCAGGACTGGATCCCCTCGCACCATTGTTCATCCCAGCGGCAGGGATGCATGGCAGGAGTAAGCCGGGTGCTGGAGTGGAGGCCAACCCGGCGTGCCCTTTCCATGCGGGTAGTGCCACAGCTGGCTTCAGCTCTGTAAGTGGGGTGTCGTAACTGCTAAGCGCAAGGTATCTTGGAGTTTTCTCAGCTCTACAGCAAAAACCTCGCCACTGAAAAAATGGGAAGGGCTTGCTTCTTTGGTAAAGATCCCTGTCCCCTGTTCCCTTCCCTGTCGCGCTGTTGCTGTAAGCACTTGTCTCACGAAGGACGGGGTGACGGGGCTTTGGTGTTGGTGCCCTGCCAAGCTGCCAAACCCAGCACTGGTGGACACGGACTCATTGGGTGCCATGCAGGCACACAGGGTGGAAGTTGGTTTAAATTAAAGCCCTGTGTGCGGTGGCAGCTAGCGAGCCTTCAGGTGCCGCCCGGGGTGGACCGAGCGGAGGACAGGGCGCTGCAGGGTGCTCAGGGACCGCTGGTCACCACTGGTGTCTCCACAGCAGCCTGTCAGGAAAATTAGGCCTGAAGATATTTTTCACCACAGAATTGCTAATTCTTTTACAGTGAAGAGATGGTTTTACGTTTTCTTTGAGGACTTAGGACTTAGGTTGGATGTG